AAAAAAAAAAAAAGAGAAGAAGAACACAAAATACAACAAATGAACATCTGGAGGAAAAAGAAACCCTCCTGTTTCTTTGGTGAGAAGGTAAACTAGTATAGCTACTGATATCAGTATGGAAATTCCTGAAAGTAATTAGAAATAGAAATAATGACCCAGCATTACCACTTCTAGGTATGTTCTCAGAAGAATTAAAGACATAATATTATAGTGATACATACATATGTGTTTGCAGTGGCATAATTCACAATAGCTAAGCTCCAGAAACAACCTAGATGCCCACAAACTCATGAATGGATATAGAAAATGTAGTATATATACACACGGGAATATTATTTGGTCACAATGAAAGATGAAATCAGGTCATTTGCAGAAAATGGATGGAACTTGAGACCATCACCTTAAGAAAAATAAGCTAGACTCAGAAAGTTAAATATTACGTATTGTCTTGTACAAGAAACCTAAAATATAAATAAACAGACTAAGAGGGCTGGGGATTTAGCTCTGTGGTGCCACTGCCTGCCTTACAAGCACAAGGTCCTAAGTTTGATCCCTGGTATCAAAATAAATAAATAAATAAGCTTTAAAAAGAAACAGACTAAGGCTGGGTGTGGTGACACATGCCTATAAATCCAGCACTTGGGAGGCTGAGGCAGGAGGACTTCCATGAGTTTGAGTTCAGCCTGGGCTACATATAGTGAGTTCAAGGCCAGCCTGAACTACATGATGAGACCCTATCTCAAAAATAAACTAACTAAACTAATAAAGGATAGATGATAGGAACCTAGAAGGTAGAGTCTTGGAAATGGGGAAGGTGATGGGGCAGTAGAGAGAAAAGGGAAAACAGGAGGAAAGGGATTGAAAATCAACATACATTATATGCATGTACTAATTCCCCAAAATAAACGTCACTATCCTATATTAAAATATACACTATTTTAAAAAATTCCTAAATAAATGTGACACTTACAATGTCACATAGTTCAAGTGCTACTAAAAAAACCATCAAATATGACAGAAATCAATGAGTCTAGGTGGTAAACTACCAGCTAATAAATATAAAAAAAAAAGATGTAGCTTAAAAAAG